ATATTTTTATTAGGCGCGGAGCATGAAAAGGTCGGCGTCTACAAAATAATCACCACAAAGCCGTAATTTCTAGGCTACCCGTGTCTCGATGTTTCAAAATCAAGCTTCCCTTTCTCTCATTGATGTCATCAGACGACAAAGTTTCACGCATTGGATTCGGTTTATTATATTCAGCTTATCAAAATAAAATGAGCACAAAATTGTACTTAATATCATCAGAATTACGAATAGACTCCTTGCCATGCTAAACGCAGTCTTGCAAGGTTGAAAAGGCGTTCGTCAGGTTTATCTATAAACGAGCTGTTTGATCCCGGTCACAGCAACAAAGAGGCTTACATCCTAAAGAATGTGAAGTAAATTAAAATCAAAAGAAGCGCAAGCTATTTAAACCTGAGTTGCGAGCGACAAAAGTGATGCAATTGCATCGCCTTTTCGAACAACGCGGATATGTGACAACTTACCGATGACGGAAGCAGCTGTAAACAGTTGGTTGGATGTGAATACTCCCATTTTTGGACACAGTTAAGTTCTTTTTGTTGATTACAGTAAAAGATCAGGGTTTACTGATGTCAGGATAACAAATTTCCGTACTGTTAGTAAAATTACAGCAACCTTCTTACTTAGTGATATGTTTCCCAACACAATTTCATCTTGAATGGGTCACGGTATTAGGTCAATTTTCTGCAAAAGCTGTACAAATAGCGCATAGTTCAAATGTTTTGGATTCGTACACGTAACATTCATTCGCTTTTCCTCCGATAATTACCCTCGGTTACATAGGAATTTTCGCATTGGTGAGTTTATAATCAGAGGGTAAAGAGTAATTAAAAGAGAAACAGCGATGGTTTGGTGAATAAATTGCAGGGTGTTTTTGGCAGCTTGAAATGAGCCCCACTTATGCAAACAATTTCAGTCTAGAACATACCAGAGATTAAAGTTGTAAATCAGCATCGGTATGAATAAGCACAAGACCAATCATAACTAAGTAAACAACGGAACATTCTGCAGGAGTAGAAATGTCTAACACACGAAATCTGTAATTTCACCAGCAAGGTTTAGTTAAATATCTTTTCCACTGTTATTTTAGCTTCGTATTCTTTCTTACAGTTTGTCGCCTATAGGTGTCGCAGTGCGCTTATCGTAGCTTCTGATTGGTTCGTTTTACCTATTTAAGAAGCTGTTTCCAGTTTTTTCTCTCTCTCTCTCTCTCTCTATCTATCTCTCTCTCTCTCTCTCTCTCTCTCTCTCTCTCTCTCTCTCTCTCTCTCTCTCTCTCTCTCGCTTGCGACCTCAGCACTTAAGAGCTGTTTCTGCTTCGGATGTTTAAGATCTAGCCCCACCCACCCACCAACCCTCCCTTTTCTCAGGTTTTTACGAGTGGTTTTTCATTTTATCTACTTTTGATACTGCTTTCAGGCGGTAGAGATGCTTACGTGGACGCGAGGTGCTTTAAATGCCACAAACTCGGCCACTGGGCAAGAGAGTGCACTGCCTCCTGGGATAGTCCACGAAGCGCTTATTCCGGAACCACATTTACCTCAGGGTACTCATACAGCCCCTGCAGACCCAGTCACGGAGCTCACACCCAACCCGGTGCAAAGCAGCAATGCTTTTGATGAGGAGGTTGCTGATATTGCTTAGGTACATTGCGATAGCGAATTGTTTAAGTTTGAGTTAAATACTAGTCCGCCATGTGTTAACGTCAAGGGAAATCTTCATAGAAACGTCGAATTTTGAAAGTGTATTGGAACCCCAAGTTTTATTCTTAACGTTATAGAAAGGGGATATATGTTACCTTTCGTTAGTTTTCCAGAACCAGCGGTTTTCAAAAACAACAGATCGTCTCTTTCACATGTCGAGTTTGTTGAGGAGACTATTCAAGACTTAGTTGAGTCAGGTCGTGTTGTGGAAACCAAGGTACCGCCCCGGGTGGTCAACCCCTTGTCCGTATCTGTTCAAGCTAATGGAAAGAAGAAGCTCATTCTTGATTTAAGATACGTCAACAAGTTTCTTCGTAAGATGCACGTTAAATACGAAGACTGGAAAACAGCTATGTCTTACTTCGCGCGGGGTGCATTTATGTTTTCCTTCGAGCTGTAAAGTGGGTACCACCACGTTGAAATTTTTGAGGGCCATCAAACATATCTTGGTTTTTCCTGGAAGCATCCGGTTCCAATCAAGTGAAGTTCTATGCGGTTACAGTTTTGCCTTTCGGGTTATCGTCTATCCCTTACGTGTTCACAAAAATTCTTAAGCCTCTTGAGAAACATTGGAGGCAGGGCATTTGCGTTGCTGTTTTTTCTCGACGACGGATGGGGTGTTCGCTGGGCCTTTGTTTAGGAGCTACTTTGCATGCCTATTTTGCCCCGGGAGGTCGATGTAGTTTCTTACTATTATGCAGCATGCAGACATTGCGTCATAGACATAGGGCCGCTTATTAGAATCGCTGTCATCGCTTGCATCACAATTGCTAGAGCCGCTTTCCTGTTAACGTTGTTGTAAAATTTTGGTGGTATATTTTTTTCTTGCAGGTCGTAATTGCAATTAAAGCATGGACGGTGCTCCCTCCTACTATTAGACCGGATTTCAATTCTTTATTTAATTGTTTAGTTAGTTCCAGGGCGGATTCTACTGTGAAGAAATACCTTAAAGAAATAAGCAAGTTTTTGCTGTGGTGTAGAACAGGAAATTTACACTACCGTTGCCTTAGCATTCAGTTATGCAATCACGCGCAAATCCGAAGAATCATCGAGACGTAAATCTTTGCCTGTGTTATATACTCCATCTGTCGGTCCTTCTCGCCTTAGGATTTTGAGCCCGCTGATACATAAAGAAGAGCAGTGGTTTGAGTCACTACATGAAAGGCGCACAGAAGTTCGCAACTGTGACCCGATACCTTTTGATGGCTTCCAGAAAGTTCTACGAATAATAATAATAACAATAATAATTTATTAGTAAACAGTTGTATAGTACGAACTATATTAAGAATTCATTCCAGTTACCAAGACGAACCTTGACACCATGTCATATCTCTAACGACCGGGCTTGAGTGCACGTTTGCAACCTGAATAGTAAACCCAAAATAAGCGATCCTTATAGTAAGTTCAATGTACAAAGTAAAAATAATGCTCACATGCAATTACTTCTTTCTTTTATAACTTGTCCATGCATTTGTTTCTCTATTTTTAATGGAGTAACAAGTTTAAAACAAATTCCCTTTTGTACTGAAAAAAAGTTGAAAAATTACTGAGAGGATCCTCATTTACCTTAAGCTTATGAACTGAAAATTTTATTTCTAGTTAAAAACATGTTTTGAATTTCATTCCTGACTTCTTCAAGATGTTCGTAAAAAAGCTTATTTTGTTTCTTTTGACCTTCTCAGGAAACCAACACATTGGCCAAGATACGTAGACTAAATTCAGAGACGTGTATGTTAAATTCCATACGGCTGTCATGCAACACAAAGATTATTTAAAAGGCCGTATTTTGAAATAGGGAGACCTGAACATGCAATATAAAACATAGGAGTTGTCTAGGAATGACCTTTAGACTACTTGGATTGTAAATCGAAACAAAATAAAAGAATGGGGCTGGGATCAGCAAAAAAAAAAGGCCTAGAAGTTTAATATGGGCAAAGTCTGGGTGAGGAAATGGAATTTAGACCTCACCCCGTTTTTTTCAGGACCCTCTTTTCATCGTGCCTAAGCAGAATTGTGTTAGTTTTTAATACTAAACACATTCTGCTACCTCTTTTTGAAAGAAAGTTTCCGTCTAAAAAGGGTCACATTTTTCAAAACTCAAAAACCTTTTTTACAGTCCAAGGCACTTCTGGCTGCTATTGATACCGCTCCGAATTCTATTTCAATCGTTACTTTCTACTTTCTAGATAAATAACTGGTCATTAAATTTTTGTACTTTCCGAAGCAGTGATTCAAGGAGAAAATTAAAGGGAAGTTCCAAAAAGTCCTTCGAATACTTTGATTCTTGGGCAGTCTTGTTAAAAAAAATTAATTTTATTTGCATATTAAAGAAGGGTGCGCATTAGCAGAAAACTACCAAATATACTCTATAGTTAAAACGTTCTTTTTTTTCTTTTTAAATGCGGGGATGGAGGGGGAAGGGGGATTCACGCGCGCTAGCTGGAAGCGCTCGAGGGAAAGAGGAAGCGAGTCCTTCGTTCTAAATGACTACCTGAGCGAGCAAGATCGACCCATCTTGCCTAATCGGGATTGTCCGCGCAGGAAAAAATTGCCTCGAGGATTTACAATGTTTGCCATTTTAGGACAATGTCAACAATGGAGTCTTAAAAAGCGGCAGATGACTGTCAGAACAAAGAGAAGATGAACGAGTTTCGTGAGCCTTTTATTGTGCTATAAAAACCTGAAAATATCAAAATTAGAACACAGAGTTATGTGTCACTCTTGGTTCTTACTAAAGTGATACATGATTGTTATATGATAAATCCTTGATTTACCAAGCTTGTTGGGTCAAGATGGCTGAATGTTAGCCCCGTTCTGTTTTGTTTAGCCCCACTTTTGCTTTTTTATGCAGCTTGACTTCGTCCCAGCCACAAGAATGCAAAAAAGAAAAAAAAACTGTGACAATGTCCTGCCATCTTGTCCTCACGCTTGGCCAATAACGCATATGTACTAAGTTATTTTATAGATGTACATAATGTTTTTCAAGCTTTTACAAGTCTAAGGGCTTTCACACCGGTTACATTTCGTTTTACTTGTACTAAATCTAAGCATACAAATAAAATCGATTGAGCGGCTCTAAAACTTATCCGAAAAACTTTTTAACGCGAAAAAAAAAATAACACACAGAAAATTCGATCTTCTGACAGCTAAAAATGACCTAAAAGAAAGATTCTCTGGAGAAAACTTGACACTCAAATCCTTGATATTAGAACTTTTCAGTCCACAATCAGAGTTTAGCTAAATGCATACGTTTCAAAACTTCAGCGATCTAAAGACGTTTCCTGGATACACTTGACAGGATTAGAACAAGTTTTTCTTTGACACATGCATGATCAAAGCTGAGAGAAAAAAAAGCATCATTGGACGGATAACAGGCAATCTTCCCTGTCCTGAAAAAAGTAAGAAAGATAGATGTAAAGACAATATACAAATCATTTATTTTCATGGTTAGTTGACTAGATAGAGGAAAAACGTTTGCTGTCTTTAAAAAACAAATAAAAAATAAATTCAAAACAAACAAACAAACAGAAAAATTCAAACACTGTCCTGCGGCGATCATGTCAAGTTGTAAAACATTGAGATTATCTACTATGAATTGAATGAGCTCTACTTTTCAAAGGAAAAGATGTAAAAGAACTTACGTGCCGCGTTACCAAAGACAGACGTAAATAAAACTCATCGATATAACACACCTGCTTTAAAAGAAGCTTTGAATCCCTTGTTTACAGTAGTGGAGTTTCTGTCACTCAGGAACTGAACCCAAACCATGTTCCCTTGACTCAGTATCGAGTTTGGCTTTGTATTTCCACACAGGCGTCCTGTCAGGATTGGACCAAAATGGCCATATATTCTTTTAGGATCACCAACTAAGATGGATGCTTCACGGAACTCAACATAATCGTTTTTGCAATCCTCACTGTCTTCCAGTTCAAATATGTCAAAGTCTATCTGGACCTTCCGTCCCTCAGGGACGATTAAAATCCACTGTTCTGCGTAATTTGAGGGGTAGTTCTCAATGTCGACTTTTGGTGTGCCAAACTCAATAGTTTCATCTTCGCTTGCATTCAGATAGTTTATGTCACCCTCTGCAAAATGAAAATAGTCTGTTACCACATGAAAAATTAACGAAATCAGTAAAGGTTATATATTTGATAAAACAAATTTAATTTTACAGCAATATTCTTAAAACGGAATCCTTGAAAATTTGCCCCATTCAACACGCCCTTAGTCTCAATGAAGACTCGCTCATGTTTATTTACTAGCCGACTAACTTAGCCATGAGATCTTGCTAGTAATAAAATGGATGAAGATTATATAGTACCATTAAAATGCATATGGTAGAGGGGCGAGTCTTCCGGGGACTAGGGGCGTAATTGTTGTGCAAACGACCACCTAGGGGTGGCTTTTGGGTTCTTCAACTTGTCGAGTAAACAAAAAAAGGTTTAATTGACGTGGCTGGAAGAATCAAAGATTGAGCATATTTGTGACTGGGTCGAGTTCATCTAGCTGGGGCTGCTAGTAGAATTTCCGTGTGAACTGAATGAAAAACGGTGCGAATTGTCCGGGAGGAAAATTGTACGCTTCCTTCTAGCCAATTCCAATGGAAAACGCGACAATAAAAAAAGAAAACAAAAACAAAACTAAAGCAAAATATCTCGTTTCACTGTGCCTTTCCCATTACTTTGGTCCATTTAGCCTTAGCTTGACTTTGTTGCTAATCCTCGGTTTTGCTGGGTCACGTCACTCAGCTAAATAGGCTATGAACTCGGGCTGTTAGGTTCTTTCCCTTCTGCTCTCCTCTCATCTTGTTTTAGTTCATTTCCCTCTGTCCATACCATAGCTGAAATGTTTACCAATTGATCGGGACTATCGCTCTGACGAAGGGCTAACTACCCTGATCGGGAGTAAGTTTGCTAATGATCCGCTTTCAATATTTGGACGTAAGACAGTAAAAAACTGGGTCTATCAGATATAGTCAAGGGTTGGTGATAGACTTTCCTCGTTAAATTAATAGAAATAGACAACGAAAGTTTTTTTTAGTGGTTTAACTTTCTTAGTCAGTTGCCATTCTTTTTCTTCGCATTTTCGCGATCGGACTTTGCATCACCCCCGCCCAGATGACATTTTGTCGTTGTATAGTAGTTTATCAGGAAAGGTACCCCGAGGCTTTTCTTTCACTATCTCAATATCAAAATATTTTGTGTTTTTTCCTGCTTTCTTGTTGGATTGTTGGCCTTTTGTTCGTTTTCTTGTTTGTTGTTTCTTCAGTTATTACCTACCTCTCCTGGACGCGGCTATAAAGGTAACATTAAATCCTGTGTAATGTACTGTGTCATCCGACACGAAACGAAGGTAGATCGTTGGTGCAGAAATATCCTCAAAAATTCCCGCTTCCCAATCGACGTTGAAGGCAAATCCCTGTAAGTAGTTGTAACTATATCGTCCACAAAATTTTCGCGGGTGTAAATCACTGTAGGAAGACCTCATTTGAAGATAGTCACATTTACATTCAGAGCACATTTCTACGTCAAGCCTGAGAAGAAATGTCACAAACTGATATCATTGGCTTTCATTTCTTGCCAACAACAAAGTTGAGATTAATGTACTGAAGAGGACAAATATATTCTTCGATTACTTTGAACCAAGAAATTATTAACTCTTGTTTGAATACATTTACTTACAGGATTGATTTTATAAGTTGTTATGGAATGTTTTTGTGAAATCGAGATGAAATCGAGGGTAAATCTGAGCCGCAGAGGTTTACATGTTACCAAGAGATAGTAAAATTATCATGGGTCACGGGGAAAACCTCTCTCAGTTTTTAATCTCTTGATGTTACTGTAGAGCGTCGACACAGGAAACATACCTTGAAAAACGATATATGATGTAGCCAGAGGTTTCTGGAACTTTAATTCGCCAACATTTGGTCTCATTCACACCATAATTACCTGACTCAGGGTACACAAGCGTACTTATGGAGCCTGTGATGTTCGTTATTCCATTGGGACAACCTACTGGGAGAAAAAAATTGTAAGTGTAAATGCTGACTTTATTTCCCATCCAAATTGTCTGCAGTTCACTAATTTTCAGTATATGCTGACTAAGGATGGATAGCCTGTGTTGAATTTCGTTTGCGAATTAGCCATTTCAGTAGTAGCTTTTTAAAAACTTTTTCTGTTTGGTTGCAAATTCGGTATTGTTTACAATGTGGCAACAGTAGTAGAACTTGCACTATATTTTACTTTGGAGAAAAACTCCTAGGATGGATTCTCCTCAACCGAACTTGTCCTTCATTGGATGGCAAGTTGCTAATTTCCCCAAAATGGAGATTATTTGCAATTATTGAGATTATTTAATTTATTTTCATTAGCCTTTATGTTATCGAGAATATCTCTGGATTTGAGGGATGGAGGATAGATCTTTAGCCTCTCCTTTATTTCTCTAACAGTCCCCACGAGTAGCAGGTGGAGTCGATTGGCAAGGTTGATGAAATCGTACTTTTTTCTTGGCTGAGAAAAGATGTTTATTGCGCCGTCTTCAAACGGAATTGTTTTGATAGGCCCACCGTCAGGAGTTAGGAAGATGATCTCATCAGCACAGTGGATATCTCCTACTTAGAGATTTTGTCTGATTGCTGAAATTTTGTCAACAGGGCTATGCAAGCGAGCTTTGTAAAGTTTAGACAAGGAACTCTTCACATCATAGGACAGAAATGCTATCCATCCGTAAAACGGAATGGCGATGCTAATTGGTGACGGAAACATACCAAGCTGGTTGTTAGGAGAATATCTGTCTAGTGCTGGGATAATTGTATGACAGACGTTACCAGCGTCTTTCAACTAAGCGGTTAACTTAGTGTTTCTAAGGGTGAAAACTGAAGATAGATCTTTTCTATCTTTGTTCTTAACATGATCGTTTTTTTGGAAAGGTGTCTTTCGTTTCTTTGTTTTAGCGATTTCTCAAAGTCCTTATCAAAGCCAAGCTGATAGGTTCGTTCATACTTCACCAACATGTGGATAATCTGGTAAAACCAACAAAAATGCGAGCTCGGTTTCTTGTGCCTGCTTCGAGTTTTTCCGAAACAATTTGAGTGGGAGTCCGATTGTATTCGACTTTTCGCATGCGATCGAGTACATTAACTAAAGTAGATCGTTTTATATATCACTAATTTGTCCACAGACGTTTTCTCTCTCAAAGCATCATCACACGAGTACACCGGTGCTAAAGAGTGAGCGCAGAGTGTGACAAATCTACTTTATCACACTCCCTTCCCCCTTACGATCTCCGGTATCAAATTTTCCATGGCTTTTTTTTTTCGGTCACATGTTCCTCGATATTTTGACTCTTTTGAGGACTCTTTGGGTACGCTCTAAGCGTAAATGGAAGGTCAGAAGTCCTCAGAGCGAGTTTAAGCTTTTATGACCCTGCGTAGACTGACCTCTAGACAGTGATGAATTATTAAAACTAAGAGGTTATAAAATGCTAACGTATTTACAAACTTACTAAATGGTTTCTTTTAACTTTGAAAGGCTCTTTTCGTTTCTTGAACCCGGTTTCTAAATCTACACTTCACGCGGTAGTTCTCACCACCTTCTCCCTCCTCGAAGTAAAAACAACGCATTCGATTTTGCAGTTGTCTTGATGAGTTTCACTCATTTTTACCACGCGCTGGTCTTTGGCATGGGTCCAGAGATCAAGTAACATATAAGCGAACACGGCCAGGGGTCAATCAGCTAATATTTATTAAAGATTAACTCGGATGTACTGCTTATTTTGTTCGACAGTGTTAAGTGTTTACAATAATTAACCACGGGTTGTCAAAATCTAGTTAAAGGATTAACGTCAACGCCAGAAATGGTTTATTTCACCGAACAACGAACGGTTTGAAACAACGTCGGTTTGAAATTACGAACCTCGTACACCGTAAGCTTTGAGATCACCGCAACACCGCGGTACAAATAGACCTTTTTACAGTTCCCAGCGCCATATTGGACATGCAACCGTGCACACATAAGAACGAGGCTGGGGTTGACTCGTGTTAAAGCTCTGTGAGCACTTTTGGTGAAATTCCTACGTGGGCGGTAAAATTGCTCGATTTTTAAGGAAAATGGACGGTCCTGGCCGAAATCTCGATAAAGCTAATTTTTCTCCCAAAAAGAAAGGAAGGTAGTGTGCCGCTTTTGGTTGTTTAAATACATTTTATGGCCCCAATGGTTTGCCTACGAGCTTTCACTTCTTCAAGTTTATGTACAGAGGCATGTATTTTTGCTAAGTATTTATCGTTCTATGCTTATCTTATTTTCTGTGAATTATGGATGAGGGTAACTATTGTTGCAAAATTAGTACAATTTTTCTATTAAGTACCTGAATTGTTTTAAATTCAATAGAGTATTTTTTATTCCGGCAGTAAGTCAATAAGTTCAATACTACTCACCTGTTTACTACATGGCTTGCCTAAAACACCCCTAGCAGAAGACTTTTGGAAAATAACCAAGACACTGGATCTTCAGAGTTTTCACTTATAATGGCAGACTCAGACAACTGGCACAAATTTGGTAGCAATTGTGACAAAAGCAGTTTTCAGTATTTGTTGTTTTTGTTTTTTATGATAGCACGGTAATCTACTATGGATGCCACATGGAACTCTCAAAAAATATTTTTGTGTGCTTTATGTATCAATCAATTTGATGCTTCAAATTGAAAAAGAGAAAAAGTGAGTTTCACCAACTAAAAGAGTCCTCGACACAAAGATGAACTATGACACTAAACTTTATTCACAAAATTGTCCTCATGATAAAATGTTTGATAGAAGTCTCGCAAAAAAGAATTTCTCTTACAATTCGAAGGTCTGAAAGATTCTCTTTCAAAGAAATCTTATGGTAACTGTAGCAGTATGAAATAAATATCTTGACTTGGAAACATTTCTCAGTCTTTTAAGAATCTTCTTTACTTCTCAAAATTATATTATCATAACATTGGTTAACACAATGCAATAAGAACTAGTATAGCAAACCTTTGTGTCAAAAGGCCTCTGAGTGCTAGGAATAAGAATATCAATTCACTGAATGTTTATCACTGACAGAAACTTAAATGTGTGTAAAGGACTAGCATTGTTGAGATCAGTAGCTGAAAGGAAGCATTTGTGTTCTCTTCCTTTAACCCTTAAATACCCAAGATCTGATTGTTAATTCTCCCTTCTGGTCGCAACACATTTACTTGTAAATAAGTTATGAGAATTTGATATAAGATCAAGATAACTTCTGCCTAGTAAGTTTCAGTATTATCAGTATCTGCTGGATAATGTTTGGATATTATGGGGAGAAGTTACATGAATCAGTCACTTTTGAGAGTTTTTAAATTGTGTAATATTTTGGTGTGATTCTTTCGATGCTGTCTTGCCACCTAATAAATTACCATGAGTCGCGAACTGAAGTGGTTTTCAATGTATCACGAGCATAAGTTGTCCTGGGCTAGATGGGTATGAAAATATTATGACATCTCTTAGTTACAGTTTCCCTCATGGGTTGATAGAAAGAAGGGTTATAATCAAGTGGTTCTACAGGCTCTATTGTATAGCTTGCTATAGGATACAATGTACAAATGGCAAACTAAAATACATCTTGGTAAACAAAATAGGAACAACTTTAACCGAACAAATCTCCTCTACCTAGAGGGCTACAGCCTTTGCCTCGCTTTCTAAGTCATACTGAACAGCTTCTTTAGTACTTCCTGTAATGCGTTCCTCTCAACACGATGTGGCGATATTCTCGTCAAACAACGAGGTAATCGTAAGAAGTTCTCGGTTTTCTCCACTAATCGATAGAAGGACTTGTCACATCAGCAAAGCATAACTTTTCGACACTAAGTCGGCTCTAATTCCACCCGTCGATTTTGAATTAGATTTTAAAATCTCCCTGAGATCTTTTGCTTCGAGTTTCTGGATGTTATCTGATAACGAAATTTCCATATCGTTGTATTAAGGAACCATTTTGAAGGGACAAATCGCATTGAAAAGTACATTAGAACGTGATATGTCAGCAGATCAGCTGTTTGAAAGAACCGCCGGGTCAACCCCAGCCTCGTTATCGTGTGTGCGCGGTTACAAAACCAATACGGCGCCGAGAACTGTAAAGAGGTCTATTGTTCTTCACCGCAATATCGCATCGAAAAAAGAGTCAACGCCGCAACACCGCAAACCCCCATGTCCCCCTCAGTTAGGGTTGAAACTTACTTGAATTGCATTGTCCTTTTTCAAAGAATAGTAATAAAACTGAAACAAGAAAAAATTCATTATACATTTGACTGAAAAAAGATGCAAGAGATGGCCATATAGACTGCTCTTTATAGACTGATGGCCATATAGACTGATGGCCATATAGACTGCTCTTTATCTGTACTTTTTCTAAGCGAGAATCAACAGAGAACAATGGGACGTTATTTCTCTTGTCTAGGGGAGATTGGGACGAGATAGGGTTTTAATCGCAAAAGAGAAAAATAACCCGAGATAAAATATAACAAAAGATAAAAAACAAATGAATTCGAAACTACAATTTGCTTCCTCAAATGAAGGCAAGTCACTACATAACCTTTTCATCAGGTGCAGCGCATGAGAAGCTCGGCGTCTGCAAAACAATCGCTCTGAGGCCATAATTTCTCGGCTGCACTGTTTCTGGATGTTTGTAAGACAAGCGTTTCTTTCTCTTATTGATTTCATTAGTGAATGGACCTTCATTTATTTTTTACGGTTTATTAGGACCTATAAGACCCAACTTATCAAAATCAAATAAGCCAAAAAGATTTGATTCACTCCAAATACTGCCAGGTTAATGAAAATACTCTTGACTCCTTGTCAAGGTTGAGCAGGATGTATGCGGTTTTGAACGAGGTTTACGAACGCCCTGGAAAATCTACATGCGAGCTGTTAGATCCTTGTCACATTATCACAAATATTTACAGGCAAAAGAAATAAAGGAAAGGAAATGAAAATCAGAAGAACTAAACTTGAGAGCGG